ATTATTGTCACGGTAAATCATTGAATATAGCTTGCTATCAATTAATCATATCCCAATGTCTAGATGTGGGAATGGTCAACAAACAATTATTTAACATTATTTTGGTAGTTAATTCCAGTAAACAATGTATTCACAAATAAATTTAGAAGGCTGTTTACTCGAATTAATGTTTACCTACTTTCACTTAATAGACTTTTTGAAATGTAGCAAGATCTACACTATAATTGTTTTCTGCAGTTTCATTTCCGTGTTGATAGGCGGCCCAGTGTAAAACAGTGCACACATCTGGGTTACCCGCCAATAACAACACTTATTAGGAAATAACAATCATTAATAGCTAGGTGCCAGCAGCTTAAAAAGAAAAAAATATATAAAAATAAAAGATAAAATAACTTCTAAAACTCCGGAGAGTCAGCTGCCGGCTTCTCTTCCGAGATTATGCTTCTTCTCAACACATTATAAATCCTGCAATGGAAAAATGTCATGCGCAGATACCAAAAGTTCCACGAAATTGTTCAAGCGGAACTCTTAGCAAAATTAGATATAAAGATGTGGGGTCCATAATACCATTCATGCGTTAACTCAGACATATAAAGATGTGGGCTGAATCACTCGTGCGGAACTCGGCTATCCAAAGTTGTAGGCTCATTGTGTGTACTGTAGCGTGTACCTAAATACAACGTTGGGGAAAACTAGAAAATGTAACAGCAGTATGTTCTATTAACTTAAATCTTGTACTCTGTAAAATGGGTTATACTGAGCCGATTTTCACCATTCAAGGTCGATATCAGGTACTAGTTAAAGTTTATTAAGTTTTCTTAGAAGGAAAATAATGAAATTATGTCTCTAAATAGAAGTTCATATACACCAGCCGAATGTAGAACACTTGTTTATCAGTGTGATTAATCTGCTCAATAAAAAATTTTAATTACTTGTGCAAATATAAAGATGTGGGTGGGTAACCCACATCTTTATAATACTTTTCATGGATGTCGACCTGCTATGTATCCTGATAATATAAAGGATGTAAAAAAATATGTTTCCATTTTTTCTGAAGACAATTAAAGGACCAAATTCAAGATGGCGGCCATCATTCAAATAACCATCCGAAGCTGTGTTCATCAATAATATGAATTATGAATGTGGATGAAGCTCTTTTTGGTGACAATACTCATTTTAAAATGTTCAGCATATACATAAGACATTTTTGATTAGGTAAATTCAAAAACTGGCAGCCTTTTTGAATTTCAAAATGGCCGCCACTAAAAAACACTTTATTCGGATATATTGAAATGTGTACATAAATACAAATAAATTAATTATAAATAAATACAGTTTGAAACTATACTTCAGTCACGGCCACCAGGCAACAGAATCTGATGTTGCATATGGAAAGTACAGGTTCTCATCAAGTATTTCTTTGCTTATGACCTCCTGAACTATGCGCACTTACTTCCACTGTATCTTTCAACAATGCAGGAAACAAAAAGAAGTTTCCATATATCTGCGAAGAGAAATGAGAGGCAATTTTTATGTTACAAAGGGACTTGCTGGATTCTATAGGTCCGGATCATGTAATTAAACAAGAGAATCGAAAACTGGTTATTGGCGGTACCATTGGAATAACACAAACCGAGATAGCTCTATAAAGATTCCTTCTGATTGCACCAGAGCTGATCAATCTAGTTGATGAGTTTGAAAGACAGCAATTGATGGGAAAAGATGTTACTAGAAAACGACACCACTACATAGCTGACACAGGACGTGTTAGTTGACCACGGAGATCCATTAACCGCTTCACCGCTGATGAAAATGACCTTTTAACCTTCTCACTAAGGAAGTAATGAATGAAAAAGTAGCAAAGAATATGATAGAGCGTGATGACATCGCACAGAAGATGTTCGAGACACTGAAAAGGGGCACCTTCCAGAGAGCTTCCACATGGGAGGATCCAATGAAGAGGGAGAGGATCAAAAGTGCAAATACAGCGATGACTGTGAAAGCAAATGACAAACTTATCAAAGTCAAAAAAGAAAAGACTCATGCAAAGAATCATTGTTGCATCACGTAGTCGCTACGACCTTGACTAAAAGAATGTATAGGGAAATATGAATTTGGCATTATTCCATGTGCATGTTTTGCTTCAGACTTGTCACTAAGCTAAGATCCTTCATCATCTTGAAGCACTAATCCCCAAAGAGCAGGAAATTCCAATAGATGGAATAATGCAAGCACCTACTTCACGACTTCGGAACTACGTGTTAATACTACTGAACAGCCAATAAGTAGGCCTACACTATCATTATAGATGTCATGGCACTCGTCAACTCTATCTCAAAAAGAAATGAAATAGGATATTCCAGTGATTTTTCGGATTCATTTCTTGAAAAGCTTTTTGGGATTTCAGATCGTTACAATGAAGTGTGATTGGTATCTGACAGATACAGCAGTTTTTAAAAGAGCAGTTGAGAAAGAAGAGAAAAAAGGGAACGTTAACTTACTATCACATTCAAAATAGCTCACTAATTAAAAATTCTTTCAGATATCCAGTCAAGAAACTCACTGGATACTGATATGTTCCTGCTGATGATTTACATGTATCTAAAACTACCTGTTGATACAGGAAGGGAGAAAATGAATATGTGTGGCAGGGTTGCTGGAAGGACAAATAACTGGTTCATGAAGGTGCTCATGTCCTGTAAAGAAGTATTTTTGAATGCATTGGATTTACTAGGTAAGGATGACACTACTGAGCCGTCTCCAGAAATGATAACCCAATTGAAAAAGTTTGTTTGCTGTATAAATTCAAACTACACACTGCACTGGTTCTTGTACTCTAACCGTCAAGCGGAAGGAGAGAGTCTTCCTCCCACTTTAGGTTCATTTAGATTACACATCTTGCGAGCACATTGCATTGCAATGGTGTGGATAAACGCCTTTAAAAGTCATCCACATCTTCCTTACTGACTATGGATGGGATTCAAAAGAATACAATTTCGTTCTAGTGCGATTTCTAAAATGCCCCTGCGCCAGAGGCCATAATTAGATTGATCAAGTGTGGCTGCAAATCGGGATGTAAAGGAAACTGTTCCGTAGTTGCCATAGCAATAACCTCCTGCGTATGGAGATCGGTTGCTTCAACCATGGCTATGGCTGAGCAACTTAGGAAAACACTTGCATTAATACTTGCAGCAGATACAAGCGAGAACATGTGAGGCAACTTCAGTTTTGGACAATAATTTTCCTGATAATATATCGACCACTTTTAGTTGCACAATAATATTTTTCAATGGTCACCATTTTGTATTTGATCGCTATTTTGAATTTTGTCGTATCGTATCATTTTTGATGTCTCAATCTTCGTTATATCAATATATTTCAAGTAACTTTATTATTGGTACGCTAAAAGTTAATAATTTTTAATAATTTATATTATATTTATTTTTTGTAATGGAGTCGTTTTGAATTTTAAAATGGCCGGCCTTTCTTGAATTTTGGTTTTAAGCTAGGTCTATGGTTTAGGACTTCTGTTGCATTAATTTGGACTTCAAATATTATCGTAATGCAAGTTGTTTTGTTAAATATGTGAAATTTATTAGACATTTTAAGTATTGGCGGCTATGTTGGATTTGACACCCTTAAACTTTAAAAAAATGGCAACATGTTTTTTCTATCGCTTTACACACTAAAGACCTAAATTAGCTTGAATTTTACTTTCAACAAAAAAAAAAAAATGACACGAAATTACATAGTTGCCTACAATATTATATAAAGCCGTTTTCATGACAAGAACAAAGATGAAGGAAAAGATCAGCATTTCTTGATCAAATAAAACAGGGCGACAGTTATTTTCAAATTTAAAAAAACTGGGAATAGACAGCTCTAACACACTGGATTTCATGTGACCTGTCAAAATGGCAGAGCACCAATGAATGAGTGAATTTATTATTATTATTATTATTATTATTATTATTATTATTATTATTATTATTATTATTATTATTATTATTATTATTATTATTATTATTATTATCAATGCTTGAACTTATACCCAAGTCTAGATATTATTGAAATACGTCTAAAGAAGCAAACTTTCATCATAAAGATCACGCTAGCTGTCTCATTGTTATGGCCCTAATTACCGTAACAATTACGCAGTGACACGTGGTGTTTGCAATGAAGGTTTCGCTTTACTAGTCATTACTGTATTATGGAAATTTAGATACACGTGCTTTAATCTATAAGCTCTGGAAAAATTTGTTATATTCGCAATGATGATGAGAATAGTATTCCTAAAACTTCTTTGCTACACGATTTAAGCTCTTTATTGAGCCCACGACCAGGTTTACGATTAAAAACAATTGTAATATTAAATGCCTGGTGGTGTTTTTACTTATTATTATGACAGTAGTCAAAATCTATTGATTTCTATTACTTTCATTTTTTTATGCAGAGGAATTACTTGTTAAGAAAGATAAGAAAAGTGACTGTGAAGAGCAATCTGAAAACAATGACGCGCTGTATTTGTTAAAACAAGTTTGTACAAGTATTGATAAGCTTGAAACGAAGGATAAGCAAGAATTTTATGACAAGTATTGCAGTATTTCTACATACATGAGAAATAAAGGATTGGTAAGTAGAAATTCAGTACAAACTGGTCCATTGCGGTTTTGTTTTTTTCAGAATTAAAATTGTATTGGAAATAACTAATGTCATACTATTTTGCACCTTCATGAAGCTATTTTATTTATTTATTTCGACAAGCTAGCTCAATATGATATTGTTATGATAATTGTTATCATCATCATTATCATTAACTTCGTCGTTGTCAACACTGCCGCTTCTGTTACACACACACATAGGCCTACATCTGTCTCTTATACACATCTAGATGTGTATAAGAGACAGGTAATTGTTTGTCTGTTTCATGATATTGAAATTGACGAAATAAATGAAATGGAATTGGCGAGCATACTAAATACTACACCACTACCCCACTCTTATATCCAACATCTCACCTGTTTAGTCTTCCCTCCACGTACTTTCCAATTTCCTTCCGAGTTTAGGAGAACATTTATATCGCTTATACTTGCAAAAAGAAACGGGAAGGTAGGGGAACGCAATGAACCTTCCAAGAGCCGCTCATCTTCCAACACAATCTTTCAAAAGAGAATAACACATCCACAGTAAATCGAAATTACAGAAGTATTAGTAATTAACTTGCCCTTTCTGTTATTGGGGAATAGGTGGCAGTTTGTAAACGTAACATGCAGGTTAATCATTATATTGTGTATATTCGGCAGATACAGTGTACATGTAACATATAACAAACCCAGTAAATACATAAACATGTAACATTAACCATGGAGAAAATAAAATAATTATATTTTATTTTCTCCATGCTCTAATAGTGGAAGCTTCGGCGCACTTTCTTAATTTTGACTGTCACATAATTATTTCTGCCGAGTCAAGCCCCAGGATATTGCTGTTAGGCGGGGCCGTAAACGTACAAAACCTGCTTGGTTGTGAGACATGCGTACATCCCTGTCTAATAAATATCAACGTTTGATTTGTAAGTTTTTAAGTCAGATTTACATGAAGGACAGGTGTATTAGACGGACACATTGGCAAAATCATGATTGTATTGAGTTCAATAGCAATAATTATAATATAAGATATATGAAATATTAAATATATACAAATACATGCCTACAGTAGTACTCTATGGGTTCTAAGCACCTCTGAGAAATTATTCAAAATCGAATATAAAACAAAAAAAACCCACATATCGAGCATCTTCGGTCTGATTGGCACAATATAGACGAAGTTGTAAATCGTAATCATCATCATTTATTTGTGACGAAAACAACATCAAATTTAACCATTTTTCATGTATCACTGTTTCTTTTTCCTCTTCACATTGTACAACACTAGTATGTCCAGTAAAATGAGACAACATTAACGTCACCGTGTTGCCTTTTATAAGGGTAATCGAATCATTGTCTTCTGATAAGTTGTGAAAACTTGGTGACTGGTCGGGTTCAGTTTCCGTACGCAGTGTTATCAAATTCGTGTTATTATTTTTAATATTTGCACAATGCTGATACGATAATAGAACTCTTTGGTCAAACACCATTCCGGATGGCCCACAAAACACCACTGGACTCGTCGCCATCATGTTTGGCGGGATTGGTAAAATTTCATTTTGTTCATGATGTAAATATATGTAAATTAGTTGAGGTGTCGACTGTTGGATGGCACCAGGTGGTACCAATAGCATTACTCCAGCTTCATCAAAATGTAACTCTCCGCCATATTTGTCAAAGATGCCGGCACGAAAAAAGGGACAGGCAAATGAATGCTGATCATAATTCCCTAAACTTGTTTGTTTGCTCCATAATTCCGCCTTTGCAATGCACCTCTTGTAATATGTTATTGGTTTGTGAGTGATATTATCTGAGCTTATTGTTTGTTGTTCTCTTTCAATGTTACAAACACTGTAGGCGTTTTCTGTGTATTCATCTTGTATTGATGATGTGTCAGTTCCTGCTTCCCGTGGCCCTCTGACTTTACACTCTATACT